TTGGATATATATTTAAATTATTTTTTGTTTTTGCAGAATTAAATGTAAGCCATTTTTCCTTTTCTTTTTTTCATGTTTTTTTTTTTTTTTTTTTTTTTTTTTTAAATATATATATATAGTTATATTTGCTTGATTTTTTTTTTTTTTTTTTTCCATTTAGGGCAAGGGGTTGGTTAATTTTTGTTTTTTCCTGAAAAATCATTTTTCTTTTATTCCTCCATTTTGTTTTTCTTTGTCATGATTTGGAAATATTTCAATTTGCTCATTCTTCCTTCTTTTCCTTCCTTCTTTTCCTTCCTCCACTTTCCACCCAGCCTTCGCGCTTATTTAGAAATGACGATGTCTTCAAATACCAGCCTGTATACTTGTGTTTTTTTCGTTTTATTAATTTGCTCGCGTTCTCCTTTATGTCCCAAACAGTCTCCTGTCCATTTTGATCAGCACACATGTCTCCTCAGCATGTTTATTTCAATCAAATATATTACACACATGACCATATATATATATATATATAAAAAATTTTTGTTTTATATATAATCAGTGTGTCAAAAAAAAAAAAAAATAAAATAAAATAAAAAAAAAATTAAATATATTAACAATAAAATTCCACCAATTACTATGATTCCTGGATCAGAAAATTAAGTTTTGTTCATGTAAGTATGTTTGTGCATATAATCCAAGTAGTTTAAAAGTATGGGTTTTTAAAAATTGGAATCAATTTGTAAACATTTATTTATACATACACATGTATGTAAAAACATTTGGCAGACCAAATTCATGATTAATACAAAATAATTACTAGTTTTTATTTATCAGAATTTTATTTTTACATTTTTTTGTTTGCTTTTTTTTTTTTTTTTTAAAACAACCATGTTTTTTCTTAAATTTCAGGGTTTTCCTTGCTTATAATTTCTTTTTGTTCTAGGAGATGGGTGGTGAAGAGGTTCTAGGAGATGGGTGGGGAAGAGGTTCTACCCTGACTTTACCAGAAACAGAAAGATAAAAGACACAGAGTAAGAAAGTAGCATACACCAGATAAGAGGTTCTCACCACGTGCACACACAAGAGGTGAGGTCTGTTGTAACAGGTGCATGAGATGGGGAGTGTGTGTTTGGGAAGGGGGGGTTCTAATGTCGATTTTGCATGTTAACTAGGAGCAAAGGGTTGTAATGCAGGTAATATCTGCCTTAAAACATTAATATAGCATAAAATAACTTGTCAGTCTTTTGTTGCAAAACAGAAGTGGGTGGGGCACATTTTTGAGGAAATTTTCTGACCTCCAACCACCACCACACATATTAAGACCTTTATTAAGACCACCCTCTAGTTATTAAGAAATTTATTACAACCCCAATTATTAATGTTGACTTAATTCCCCTTGGCAAAATGGCAATTTGGAAAAGTTTAATAATTAAGACTTCCCTTTTGTATTTGGAGCCTAAGAATAGATTTATTTTGGCTTAACTATTTGTCTTATTTTTGTCTTAGTAGCTTTAATTTGTTTTAAACTTATTTCTAAAAATTGGTTCTCCATTTTTTTTTTTGCTCCTGTTTAACTTTTACCACACTCCATCTGACTTCATTTGCTGTACAAAAGGTTTATCCTGCTACTGAAGGTAACTGATCTCTGAATTTGAATTTCATAGATGTGTTGTCATATCCTGCGATGACAACAGAAAATATACCTTTGAGTAAAATTAACAAGAAGGATACAGCAATTGAGAGGCCTTGAAAAAGAATGCAGTGGAAGGGAAGTAATATTAATTATGTAGAGTGCTAAAGGTTAAATGACTCCATTTGTCATCTGGATACTTATATCAATCACATCATGAGATAATGGCAAAAAAATCTAGTCTCTCAGATTGTTACCTCTTAATAGTGAATGATCGTCACTAGGTACCCCTCAATTGTGGCCTTATGTCAAACAAATTAATGGGTACCTCACTGAGATCATGATCATTAAACTAATCTTGTAGATCATTATTACGTAGTAGGGAGTTGATACTTACTGAGTGTTCTATAGCTGTGGCCTTATAACAAACTAAATCGAGTCACTTATTTTTAAACAAAATATTCTAGAATTTGCTGGTCCCATTTGCTGGTTGTTTTTACTTCTTATTTTTGGGGCTATGTTTTATTTTATTTTTTTTTATTTTTTTTTCTTAAAAAATAAAAAATTTTTTAATTTTTACTTCTAAAAAAAAAAAAAAAAAAAAAAATTTTTTTTCTACCACCCATTTTTTTAAATTTCTTCTGTTTTCTAAGAGTCTTTCAAATGTTCTTCATAATATCATTAATTCCAGATATTTTTCTTCGTTCAAATATGCTGAGTTGATGAGGCAAAGCTAAATTTTCGTTCAATCTGTAGTCCTGCCCCCACCAAGAAATTAATTATAGAAAAGTGTAATAAAGACAGTAGTAATAATATTCCTATTCTAACGGAAAGCGTACATCCAAATTTCACACCTGATTCTGAAGACCTGGGTAAAAAGTCTGCCATAGCAGGGTGCTCATTGGCGTGTACTCTTTAATATTCTTGCACGACGTCGGCTTCAGGAAATTATTCCTCACGGCTTTATGCGCTCTTCTATGATTCTGCATTTCCTCTATGGTGGCAAACTGCTTCGGACAAAGGTCACACTGCGAGGGTGCATTAGTAGCATGCGTCCTTCTGTGCATCTGGAGTGCATCCCTCTGAGTGAACTGTTGCATACACATTTCACAGTTCAATGGCTTCTCTGATCCAGGAGCAGGAGCAGGGGCAGGAGTGGTGCTTGCTCCGCCATGGATTTTCTTATGTGCCTGCAGTTGTGCCTTCCGCACAAACTGCTCTCGGCAGACATCGCAGTGGAATGGCTTCTCCCCCGTGTGGCTGCGCGTGTGGATCTGCAGCTTGTCCTTGCGGGCGAACTGCTTGGGGCAAATGTCGCAGTGGAACGGTTTCTCGCCAGTGTGGATCCGTCTGTGGATCTTCAGGTGGTACCTCTGGGCGAACTTCTTAGAGCAGATCTCACAGTGGAACGGTTTCTCATCTGTGTGTGTCCTGCGGTGAATCTGGAGACGATCCTTGCGCGCAAACTGTTTGGCGCAGATCTCGCAGTGAAACGGCTTCTCACCCGTGTGCGTCCTCTCGTGAATCTGCAGCTTGTCCTTCTGCACGAACTGTTTCGGACAGTAGTTACACTGAAAGAGCTTCTCGCCCGTGTGTGTCCGCCGATGCAGTTGCAGCTTGTCACCACGTGAGAACTGCTTAGAGCAGAACTCACAGTGGAACGGCTTCTCGCCCGTGTGCAGTCGCTCGTGGATTTTCATCTTGCCCTTTTCAACGAACTGCTTTTCGCAGTACTTGCACTGGTACGGGCGCTCCCCTGTATGGGAGCTCTTGTGGATCTTCAGCTTGTCTTTGCGCGAGAACTGCTTGGGGCAGAACTCACAATGAAACGGCGTCTCGCCAGTGTGGATCCGCTCGTGGATCTGCAGCTTGTCGCGGTGGACGAACTGCTTCTCGCAGTAGTGGCAATGGAACAGCTTCTCCCCGGTGTGCGTGCGCCGATGGAGCTGCAGCTTGTCACCTCGGGAGAACTGCTTGGAGCAGAACTCACAATGAAACGGCGTCTCGCCAGTGTGAATGCGCTCGTGGACTTTGAGCTTGTCCCGCTGCACAAACTGCTTGTCGCAATAGTGACAGTGGTAAGGTCGGATCCCTGTGTGCGTACTCCGATGGATCTTCAGCTTGTCCTTGCGCGAGAACTGCTTGTTGCAGAATTCGCAATGGAACGGTTTCTCTCCTGTGTGGATCCTCTCATGGATCTGGAGCTTGTCCCGGTGCACAAACTGTTTCTCACAGTAGTTGCACTGGAACAGCTTTTCCCCTGTGTGTATCCGCTGGTGCAGCTGCAGGGTGTTCCTACGGGCGAACTGCTTTGGACACGTGTCGCACTGGTATGGTTTGACGGCCGGCGCCGTCGTCTGAGGCTTCGGCACACTGGGCAACGCTTTATTCGGCACAACGACAGGCTGCGGAGACTGCTTGGGACAAGTAGGGGGAACGCTTTGAGCTGGTTTCTCAATTGCATGCATCGTCTCGTAGGTTGGAAAGTAACAGTTCTGGGAAAACTGGTTTCCATAGATGTGACCATGAAAAAGCTTCTGGTTGGTATGCATCAACCCATGTGTTTGTAGGTAATAGCTCTGTGCAAACTGGTTAACATAAGTTTGGTTGTGGAATGTCTTCTCGGGCATTTCCGGCATACGGTGTGGCTGGAGGGTATTTGTTGGCTGCGGGAACTGTTTCCGAGAGATGTTTCCCTGAACCTGCTTATCGTTTGGTAGCTTTTCCATGTTTTCTATGGAATTTGTGTAAATGATTGGAGGAGAGGAAGAGAAGGAAGGAATAATATTTATATTTTCGAATTCTTTTGTTAATTTTTCATCGAGTCCCGTTTTATAGCAGAGATTTGACAACTTTTTTCCTTACCCCCAGGCGTGTGGATATTTCTTTGCTTGATGCAGGACACGGAGGAATAAAAGAAAAATTTATAGACAATATTCCACCACCGGGAGAGTCTGGTCTACTCTTTGGACATCTGAAAAAGAAAGAAAAGTTTGATAAAAAATTGTTTGCTAAAATTAAATTTATATTAATTTAGCCAATTCTAGCACATGGTTAGTTTACGGCACATATGTTAAATAATAATTTATAAGACTATTATTTCTTAGAGAATTGTATTTCTTCTCTGACTTCTTCATTTTGACCTTTGAGGTAATATACAAGAAAACAAAGGAAGTCATTTTGATTGGCTAAAACTAATGTGGAAATGTCAGAGATAGAAAGGAATTTCAACCCCACTGGCTAGTTAAAAATGTACATGTTTAGTATCTGTCTATATTTCTGATACGAGGACACATGGCACAGTGGATAAAAGTGTTAGTTAGATCCAGTGACAGAACCCAAAGAGTGTGAGTTCAATACCTAGTTAAGGCAGTGGAGAACTTTCAGAGGGGAATTAACAGGAGATAACTGACATCCATTAGACATGGAGCATGGAACTAGAACAGTCTACCCCAATAAGTGAAATAAAGGGTTCAGTTTGACATTCCAACGACTTGAAGAAGGCCGGAGTGTACAACAGCCGATAAACATGGCAACAAAGATGAGGACAATAGTCTGAATAATGTCAATAGTGTTGACATGTTTAATAAAGTAGTAAGTTAAAATTCCTTCGTTGAAGTTTTCCTTTATCTCCAAACAAAACAACTGGCAATCAGTGACAAAGAAAGGAGAAGGCAACGTTATGAGTGAATCTAGACCATCACCCTCAAAACTGCCCTCAGCACAAAGGAGCTATGCAATACATCAAGCAAGATCTAACTTAATCCTTTTATTATTTACAGTTGATGCTATGATCACAATGTTTTGGCCATTATTTCCTCCACCTTTCTTCAGCCAATCTTCTTGAAGTTAATAATAAAGAATGCTTCATCTAAGAAACGTCGACATCTGTCTTTGTCATCTTATATTTCCTTGAATACTGTTCTTTTATTGTCCTGTTTCTTTCACTCTCATTAGCTCCTTGCATATTAGCAGCTTTTATTGTCTTGCTTGGGGTGAGTATTTAGTTTTAGAAATTCATACCTTCAAAGAAGCACTACTCTTTTATAATTACTACAATTTTTAAACCAAGACTAAAGGTTTTTCAGGGTTGGACAAAAAATATTAATAACAGATATTTCCTTTGGACATCCCATTAGGATGGAAAGAACTAAAATCTTGCCAAATAGATCAGTACTACAAGCAGAAGCTTTACTCTTTTCCAGGCAAATCATTTTGGAAAAGTATAAAGCTGGGGGGGAGGGGTTATGCCAGCCAATTTTAAAATGCCATAGATCTCAAAATGATGGCTGAAGTGTTTGAATTAGTGACATCATCAAACCAAATGTCAGAGTTTGAAGAATAAATAAACCAAATGCTTCAATGCAAAGAATTCATGCTGAATGTACTTTGAAATATTTGTATACTGAAGTCATTAAGTACATGTATTGGAAGACTAAAGTAAAACTATGTAATTTTCTAAAATTTAAAGAAAATCCTCACATCAGCAAAAATATGGTGACATCAACAATTATGTAAAAAAAAAAAAAAAAAAAGAGAGAAATAAAAGAGTATTTTTTTATAGTCACAATTACTTTCAGAATAATGCAACAAAATTTTTTCATGGCAGTATTTTTGGTAACATATCTGTAGTTACAAATAGATACCTCGACCATAAAAGACTCAGTAACCATTGAAAATTGTGCGCAGGAACACCTCCTCCCCCAATGCCAGGGATAGGGTTTAAAAAAATAAAAAATACTTATTAGGTTTTCTAAAAAGTTCTCATCCTAATCTCCTAAAAAATCTGACCAAACAAATCTTTTTTTTGAAGATCTTGTATGAAGTGAAAATTTTTAAGCAGCGTGCATAACTTCTTTTTTTTAATCATTTCATTCCTAATTAAGGCAATAAAGCCACTAAAATGCAAGGTGGCTACTATTAAGGGGAGAGAACAATAAAAGAACAGGAATTAAGACAACTGACATTGATCTTCAAAAATGTAAATGCAAAGTTGGGAAGCAAGACCCCAGAAGACAGTTCTGTAAGCAGGAAGTATGATAGAAGAAACTCTTAACATAGAACTTACGGTTACATCTAGCTGCCATTTCAACTGTAAAATGACGAGACCTAGCTGCCAATCTAGTAGTGCACTTAAATTCATAAAGTCTTGGTACCATCAAGGAAAGATCAGCAGAACAATTGCAATGAAAGTATTTATAAAAATAAAAAAAAAGACACAGGAAAAGCTACGTTACGGTGGTGGGAAAGTGACTGAGGCTGAGATTCCAGGCTAGGACTGATAACATTGCAGATTCTTCTTTGGATTTTATTAAGAACCTTAAATATATAGCAGGAGCACTAGACCTGATGTGGCAGTAAAAACATGATAGATTCTGTAAGATGGATTCTGGCAAGAAAAACAGTCTATCACAACAAAGTGAACCAACTTTCCCAGCAGCAGACTGAGCAAATGATTCAAAATAATTTTTAAAATATCTAAACTGTTACTTGAATTTAAATATTCACACATGACATGGTGGTGGTAAAGTGATTCCAGGTCAGGACTGATGACATTGCAGATTCTTTGGATTTTATCAATATACCTTGTGACTGCAGTCATTAAACATTCCCAACCAGTATTAAGGGTTTCAGCAAAAGTCTAAGAACTGGGATGCTGATTTTCTAGGTAAGCAGCCATACAATTTTTCTTGCAATAATCTATCTTAACCTTTATAATTCTACCATTCATTCACGCATTGAATATTGCTGCCACATCTGATCTGACACTTCAGCTATGCATATAGACATTCTTCACAAGATCCACTTTGCCACTGCCGTAGATTCCCTGTGCCTTTCCTATAAATATTGTCATGGTAATTGTTCTAATGAATGTTCCTCCTGGAATA